TTATAATTGTTCTTCGCATTTAAATTATTTTCATACTTTTATAGTCAATATTCATTATAATCACTTCACTTTTATAGATTTTTTAATATAAATTTATATTTATTTTTATTTATGTTCTTTTTTTCTAATTTTGTTATGTATTTTATTGTATTATCTCTTACATCAAATTTAAACCATTTTTTTTGTCTATTACGTTGTTATTTCATGTTTTTATTTTTGTGGTATTTGGATCAAACTCTATGTCAACAAGGGTAGTTTCATGGTTCGACGTGAGTTGTGCATGTTGGAGTCGAAGTCTGTTCAAGCAAGCTGTCGAAATTTATTACCTTTGTGTTTAAGTTAGCATGTCAAATTAGACCTTATAGGGTCAAGTTTTAGATTTTTATAAACAACTATCATTAAAATAAAAACAACTCAAATTAACTATAAAATTTTTAAATTCTATGAATCACTTTGGGCCCACAAAAAATATCTTAGTTTATCCACTTAAAATACTCCCACTAAATATACTCTTATATACTTTTGTATGTATCACAATGAATCATCATACTACTCCATCTATACAAATCCACAGAATCTTTTACTAATTTAATAATGTATTTAACATAAACCCTAAACTTATGGATAATAACTCACTATTTATGAGATATTTAAATTCTTACTACTTTATTTCATTTTGTTTTGATGAGCATGATTAGGTTGACTTATCATTACCAAACCATCTACTAAAAGGATTTTCATGTTTCTCTCCTTGCTTACCACCTCCACCACTCTTCATGGGCTGAACAGTATCTTGAGTATCTTGAGGTAGATCTCCTTTTCCATATCCACGTGCTTGTCCTTTTCCGTAGCCATTCACTTCCATGCACCAAAAGCTTACAAGAAGCATTGCAATGCAAAAAACAAGCACATTCTTTGAATACTTAGCCATATCTACTGTTAACTTTTTTTTCCGCTACTTTTTGTGTTTGATGAGATAATGTTGTGAATTAGAAGAGATTCTTGGTTGCTTATATAGTATAGGAGAGAAATCATTTGTTGTTAATAATGTCTATATTTGTGTTACATAAAGAACTAGTTTTAAAGTTACTAAAAAAATAATGTTAATGTCTGAATTTGCTATTTTCAGATGACATGTATAATAATAATAGCTGAGTAATTTGTATTTATAGTAAAAATTTACTTGAGTGGTGAAAAATCAGATCCAATTAAAAGTAATTCAACTCATAAATGATGTTGTTACCTTTGTTATTATTATCAATAATCTTTTGTAAATAGATTTTAGTGGAAAAATGAATTTTAATATTTTCTTTCATTGTATTAGTTATTATATATATATATATATATATATATATATATATATATATATATATATATATATATATATATATATATATATATATTTCGGACTGACCCAATGGTTAGGCATGATTCAATCTACTTCTACACTCAGAACGATCCAATAGCTTAAGCTCTATCAGTTAAGGGCAAAGGAAATCACTTTTTCTCCTGCCCCTTAGCCGAGGAGATCTGACCAGCTGCCCTTCGTTACATCCTTATCTGTTTCACACTATTCAACCATTCAAGAACGACCACGACGCTTTTTCCTGCTACCACGTCCCTGCTCAAAGCAATGACTAGTTCCGAGCATATCTGCCAGTCTCAACGGCTAGTTTCTGACAGTTACCTATTTTTAGGGAGCGAATTTCTAGACCCGAAAATAGAGACCAATGACCAAGTGTTGGGGGCATTATAAAATCCCTCTCCTTTGAGAGGGTCAGGTATTCTAAAATCATCCCAAGACACTCTTACTTTGTACTTTCCTTCTCATCTTTCGATTCTTACTTTAGCATCGGAGTGCCTTGCATGTACACCCCCTCCTCCTCTTTCACACCCAGCATCACATCTGATACTAAAGTAAGAAAACGAGCAAGAGAGAGCAAGTGCAGAATATGAGTGTTTCATGGTGAATATTGGATCCTTGACCCTTTCAAGTGAGAGGGTTTTTATAGTGCCCCCAGCGCTTGGCCATTGGTTCCTATTTTCGGGGCGAGATAACCGTTTCGTGAAGAATATGTAACTGCCATAACTAGTCGTTATGACGGTCAGACGTGCCCATAACTAGTCGTTGGCACGAGCAGAAGCATAGTTACGGGCACAAGCGTCTTGACTGTTTCTGGATGGTGGAACCGTGCGTGACAGGCAGAGATTGGCGAGGAGAAGTGTTGTGACCAAGGGTAAATTGGTCAGTCTCCCTTGTTGGAGGGGAAGAAAGATAAATTATCCCCTCAAAGTGGTTGAGCTCAGGCAATTGAGCTGTTTTAGGAGTAAAAGTGGATTGGGTCATGCCTAGCCATTGAGACAATACGGATCCGGAACAGTAACATTTCTTCATTTTGTAATGTAATTTCAAATGGACATTAGATTACTTTTCTTTTGATAGTATTGGGCTTCATGGCCTTCTAACTAATAGTCCAATTTATAAAAAAATCAATTATATATATTTTTGAATTAGTCAAATAAAAGAAATAAAATTCTCATGAAAAAAGGATTAAAAAAATGAAAAATTAATTAATGAAATAAAACTCTCATGATTCAATCTACTTCTAATAGTTATAGGTCGGTCAGAAGATCTAACAACTACATTCCAGAGAAAATAATAATTCACCAAGCACTTTACAGGAAAATACATATCACAACGGTTGGAAAAGAGATATCACCAAGATGGTCTAACCGTTGTTAGGTAATGTGTGATTGTATGTATGATTATTTTCACCAAGGGTCGTGCAACCGTGATTGTATACATGTAGCGTGCTACCTACCACAAGGGTTAATTTAAACAACCGTTGTGATATTATTTAATATAACATATTTAATCATTGTTGTTCTAAATAAACGTTGTGATATATAGACTTGAGTTTATTATAAATTATGTAGAATACTTATTTCGCCAATACTCACTAAACGTATAACCTTCCAATTTGCACTAGAATATTATAATATAACAAATTAAGTTATATTAGAAGAATAAGTTCACGTGCAATGCTAGACAAGAGTTCTTCAAGTCCTTATTTGTATTTCGTTCTTTGATAGTAAAAACTTGGTTTAATGATCCTAGTTCTTCAATTTACCCTGTCTTCACCTCTTTTTGTTTTTACAAAATATTATTTACTTTGCAAACAAAATTAGATGTGGAGAGAGGGGTGATTGAACATCTACAATCATTAAACCAAGTTTTAACCATCAAAGAACAACATGCACTTAACAGTGTGAAGAATTTTTGTTAAGCATCGAACGTGTACTTATTTTCTAATACAATTTTATCTATCATATCATAATGTTCTAATATAGTTTGAAAAGTTATATATTTGGTAAGGAATTGGAAAAACATTCAAACCACATAATATATAATAAACTTATCTTTTAAACAAACATTAACCATTACATTCATAAAAAAAATTCATCAACAACAAACCATAAACAACAAAAATGATAAAACAAACATATCAAGTCATAAAATACTTCAGAAACATACCATACAAGTCCCATAAAGGCGTGTTGTCAATGAAATAAGGATGAAGATAAATTTAGACCTGCAAACTTATGTATATCTTGAATGGATATCATTATGGATCTTTGACACAAGTTTGTCAGGCTAAATCTATCTTCGTCCTCTTTATTGAAAGAAACATCCATATCTAAAAGTTAAAACAAGAAGGAAATTCAAACATTATGAAACAAGCTATTGAAACAGATTTTGAAAAACAAAACTATATATGAGAGAGACGAGTGAGAGAGTTGTTAGGGTTTTTTTAAGAGAGACGAGTGAAAGAGTTGTTAGAGTTTTGTTTTGAGAGAGACGACTGTTACGTATTGAAGCATACCATACAAGTCCCATAAAGGCGTGTTGTCAATGAAATAAGGATGAAGATAAATTTAGACCTGCAAACTTGTGTATATCTTGAATGGATATCATTATGGATCTTTGACACAAGTTTGTCAGGCTAAATTTATCTTCGTCCTCTTTATTGAAAGAAACATCCATATCTAAAAGTTAAAACAAGAAGGAAATTCAAACATTATGAAACAAGCTATTGAAACAGATTTTGAAAAACAAAACTATATATGAGAGAGACGAGTGAGAGAGTTGTTAGGGTTTTTTTAAGAGAGACGAGTGAAAGAGTTGTTAGAGTTTTGTTTTGAGAGAGAAGACTGTTATGTATTGAAGCGATATATAACTTCGCTTATTTATAAATAAAGTATTACCTTTTATCATGGTTGGTAATAAAAATTGTGGTGATATACTAGGTCAATAACATTTTTATCATGGTAAATGACTAATTGTAGGTGATGGGATTCAAACCATTTCACCCTGTTTGCTTCATTTGACCGTTGTGACATGTCCTCTAGTAAATATTAAAAAAATGCTCATATATAAATTATTACCATGATTAACACTATGGCTGTTGTAAAATTAATGTTACAGAAAATATATTTTGTAATAGTGAAATCATTTATAGAGTGGGGGGTGTTATCCTTCAATACAGCGCAAGAAATTTAGATCTAGAATCCATCCTACTGCTCTCTATTTTTTACACTTAAAAAATATTTGAATTGTTATAACCATTCTACAATATAAATATAAAGGGGAAGTAACCTTTATATATATATATATATATATATATATATATATATATATATATATATATATATATATATATATATATATATATATATATATATATATATATATATATATATATATATATATATATATATATATATATATATATATATATATATATATATATATATATATATATATATATATATATATATTAATCATTTAAAACTCCCAACCAAACTTTCTGTGAGCATTAATCACATTTATCTAACCTTGAGAAACTACTATATATACATGTATAAAGTTTATGTGGAAGCCAGAATAGCATCTCCAAAAAGAAATAAAACCAAAGATAAATAGTCGTTATTATATTATCATGAGGCTTATATACACTTGCTTACTATGGGCAATATTAATAACCGATGTTATCATGGTGGCTTGTAAATCTAGAAACAATGTACCAGCAGTAATTGTGTTTGGTGATTCTTCTGTGGATGCTGGAAACAACAATAAGATAGCAACACTTCTCAAGAGCAACTTTAAACCTTATGGCCGCGACTTCGAAGGCGGCCGTCCCACCGGACGGTTTTGTAACGGCCGCGTTCCACCGGACTTCATCGCAGAGGCTTTTGGTGTTAAGAAGGACATACCAGCATATTTGGATCCGGCTTATACCATTGATGATTTTGTTACTGGTGTATGTTTTGCTTCTGCTGGAACTGGATATGATAATGCAACTTCTGCTGTACTTGTAAGTTTTTAATTTTTTAATAGTTTATAAAAATATAGTAAGAGAGTTTTAGTCACTAACATAATAGTGTTTTTTTTGTTAAGATAATCTTTTTGATCACTAAAGCTATTTTTATTTTATGTAATAAGTTAAATAAAATTTTAAGCGTCATGCTAATTAATATTTCGGGGTAAAAAATATGTAATGCAACAATATTTTTTTTTAAAATTAATTATTTTTATTTTTCAGTGCGTTATTTAAAAAAATATATTTTTAGTATCTTAAATAATGTTAATTATGATTTTTTCTGATTCTAAATATTAATTTCTGTATTTGAGTCATGTTGGAATTTTTTTTACTAAATAAAGACTAAAATTAAGAGTGATATATAGAGTCATTAAGTATTCAAAATTGACTAGAAAAAGAAGAAGAAAAAAACTCCCAATATATAACTTCAATCATTGATGGTATTAAAAACCTACATGCTAGGGTTGTCAAGCAAATTAAAGAGGTTGTTCATGATAATTAATGGAGATATGTTGTGGTAGCTATGCCATTGATACCTTAGACATGACAAGGTGTGATGATACCATGTGTATTGTAGGAGTTTATATTTATATTTATATTTAAAACTATAATTAATTAACATGGGTTGTCAATATTTTACAGAATGTGATACCACTATGGAAGGAAATAGAACTCTATAAAGAGTATCAAGCAAAACTAAGAGCCCATGTTGGTGAATCGAAGACAAATGAAATCATAAGTGAAGCATTATACCTAATAAGTTTAGGAACCAATGATTTTCTTGAAAACTACTATATTCTCCCAACAAGACAACTTCATTTTACAGTGTCACAATATCAAGATTTTCTAGTGGATATTGCAGAAAGTTTTGTGAGAAAATTGCACTCACTTGGTGCTAGGAAATTATCCATAACTGGTCTTATTCCTATGGGGTGTCTTCCATTAGAGAGGGCTACAAATATTTTTGGTGATCATGGTTGCAATAAGAAGTATAATAAAGTGGCTTTACAATTCAATGCAAAGTTGGATAAAATGATTTCTAAGGTGAATAAGGAGCTTCCTCAATTGAAGGCTTTGTCCGCAAATGCTTATGATATTATCTTTGATGTCATTACAAGACCTTCTTTCTATGGTATGTTTTCTTTATTTGTTCTTATTTATTATATATGTTATGATATTGTCTTTGATGTCATCACAAGACCTTCTTTCTATGATATGTTTTCTTTATTTGTTATATATATATATATATATATATATATATATATATATATATATATCACCAATACCCCTCAAAAAGAGTGTATCTGTATTCATGCCGGTATCAAATATTTGTGCTGATATTTATGATTATATTTAATTTATTTATATTTTAATAATACTGTATTTCTTACGTTTTATATTATAAATCAATTTTATTTTATTAAATTTATTAAATAATTAAGTTATATGCTATTTTGAAACATAATTGTCTACAGGTTTTTTTATACCACATTCATATAGGCAGTACTTTATAAGTTTTTGACGTTGATAACAAGGTTACAAAAAATAAATTTGTTTTTATATATATTTTTAAAATAATAAATATTATAACATAACTGTCCAATTTTAATCAATAGTTATCAATACTTAAAGGTGTGACCGGATTCATTAATATGGTAGCTCTTTTTGTACATAAAATTATTTTCATAATCAATGCACCACAACTACTTAGAAAATAAGTATAACGTGTTTAGAAAATTTATTTGTCTTAAAACAAATGTTGTTTCTAGTTTCAAATCATGTTAAATAAGTAACACAGTATATGTTTAGAAAAATTATTTGTTTTCAAACAATTGTTCCTTTTATTTTTCAATGAAATTCCCTTTATTGGTCTTTTGTTGATATATCAAAAAATATATATATAATAAATAAAATTGATAAAAAAAATGTAAATTGAAATATGATATTCTCTTTCTGTATGGATAAAAAAAATCACCATTAGACCAAAGATGTCCACATTTATTAAAATTTTAAGAATATACTTTTAAATAGTTTCTAAAATATTTGAACGAGTGGATAACAAAAATGATATGTAGTAATTGATTTAAATGAGTTTAAATTATTGGTATAGAATTTAATTTTTTATATCTTCGTTTTTTTATATTTATTTATTAATTTAAGCATGTTGATAAAATATTTATGAATCAATAATTAAAAAAAATGTTTATATTAGGTAAATTCATAATTTAGATTTTGTACAAAAAGTTGGTGTGGCATTTGATAGCCTCTTTATTTGTTAACGAGTTAAGCCTGCCCTACATTTAAGCTAGTGGTCCTTGTAATCTAAGACAAAACATAAATGACCCGGTTTAAAATTAAAATAATAAATTATTAAAATATTATTAAGACAAAATATATAGAAGAAAAGAATGTAGTTGAGAGCAGCTAGTTGAAATTATTAAACGTAGCCAGCGAGAAATTATAAAACTTTTGTACCCTACTAAAGTTTTATTAGGTATGCTTTTATATTTGATCATTAATAGAAATTTATGGAGGCCAGAACAAAATGATTGTTTTTTTTTTTAATATTGTTGATAGCCTCAAATTTCATTTTGCCTAACAGTTTAATATAATTGGAGAAATAAAAGTCTCTTGTTGTTAAATACTAATGTATCAAATCAAATCATATTTTTTCTAAGTAGTTTAATGGATGTAATTAATCTTTAAAAATGAATAATATAGAATGTTGTAGATCTGAATTCACGCCCTTACGCCTTATATCTTTACACAACTAAAATAACTAACTTAATAGAAAAAATCAAATTATTGTTAACCGAACTTAAACTGAAATAATAAAACCAAAATAAATTAATTAAATATATGATATTTATGATAGAGTTTTTTTATAAGCAATAATATATTAAAGAGATTAAGAAAATCTCTGAACAACAAAATTTCAAACAGAGCCTAATACAATACTGTTATATAAAATCGAATGAAAATTTAAATCAATCGTACAAACTACAATGATTACTATCCTGTCTACCTAATATCAACCAATTTCACGAGATAACTTTAATATCAGATACAATGTCGTCAACATCAATAGAAGCATTACTGAAAATAATAATTATTCTGACCCTCCATAAACTCCAACAAGAAATGAACCAAATAGAGTTGATCTTGTTCTCTTTGCAGCGGCCCAGAAGTCTCGATTTCCAAACTTTCGCATAAAGACTACAACAATCCTCCGAAATGTACTCTATATCCACCCACTCGCAAATCCTATTCCACACCAACGAGGATTTAGAGCACGAGAAGAAAAGATGTGAAACGTCCTCGTAGTTTGATGAACAGAATGCACAATCCAAGTATTGAGAGTAGTCAATCACTCTTCTTTTCATCAAATTGGATCTGGTAGGCAACCTATCAAGCGGAAACCTCCAAATAAAAATTTGGACTTTTGCCGGTAACGCCGTTTTCCAAAGGATCTCCAGAAGAGCAACACTATCATTTCCAATAATATGAACAGAAGCAGAGGAGGAAGAGAATACAGCAGCATAAAAAGATCTAACCTTTTACGAAAGAGAATCACGAAGTAGCCATTTCCAATTATCGCCGACATTGATGGTGACTGCCATCTGATCCAACAAAACACTACAATCTGTTCAATCTAGTATAAAATTGGAGCCGTCGTCTATCAACGATTCTCTAACTTTTCAAATCAATTGAATCAAATTTAACCATAAAAAGTTTTAAAGTATAATAATTCAGTTTTAAATAAAAACACTACTAAAAATTTAGAGTTCGGTTTGGAATTTAAAAAAACCGATACACTAAATTATCTATAATATATACTATGAATAGCACTGATTATAATATTGTGTTATAATCAAAAAATCTAATGTTGTATCAAAGTTCAATATATCTATTGAATTGCTTTTCTTTTTTTTTGGATCACTTAAGTCACAATCTAAATACCCTTAAGTGCTTTTCAGACAACTTTCATGCCTAGGTCCATAGAAATTATTTGAAACTAGTCCCCACAATAAATTAGTTGAGACAACTTTCATGTATTTGTCCCTACAATTTTCAAGTACTGGTCCATACAATTTTCTTGTTGCTCTAAAATGTACTGAAATATATGAAATTATTTGATTAGTTGAGTTTAAAATCAGTGCAAGAAAAACACATAAAAATGATGGCAATGATAATATTGATTTTATATATTTTGCAGGATTTGAGGTGACAGAGAAGGCATGTTGTTCCACTGGAACATTTGAGATGGGCTACTTATGCAGTGACAAGAATCCACTTACATGCAAAGATGCAAACAAATATGTGTTTTGGGATGCTTTTCATCCTACTGAGAAGACAAACCGTATAGCCGCAAATTATTTGATTCCTAAACTTCTAGCAGCTTATAGATGATTATTATTTCCCTTCTAGACGAATTTCGACATTTAATATATATTTAGTCTCCATCATTGATCATGTTCAAATATATTATTGTTGCAAACAAAGAACCTATTCTAAACAATCTAGTCTTAGACCACATTTGGTCTTTTCATTTATAATATATGCATGTGTTGAATTTTATAATATATGCAATATGCATGTGTTGAATTTTGTATGTGATTTTATAAAATGATGTACATAATGGGGTAGAAATGGTTTTGAATAGTCAAGTATTCAATGTGTGGCAAGTGAATTAGACCTATTTTAAATATGCATTTCCAAATAATGTATTGCAAATTGAATTACTCTGAGGAACTAAAACTCCCAAATTCACTAAATTTGTGGGCCAAGTTGCGGAATCAAAAAATGGAATATGTAACTAGATATCAAATCAAATATGGGCATTTGGCTAATAACGATTATTTCAAAATGAATTATTTCTCTAGTTTCTTAACTAAATACGCGTTCACAAATTTGATTCCAAATTTATTTTTAAACTTAGGGTGTTTTTCAAATATGTAGAGTTGAATACTAACCCGAGCTTTAATCAACGGAAGTATGCATGAAAGTTGTCTGATAGTGTTCCATAAGATCACCTCATCTAAACATAAATGAGGAAGAAAGTATTGTAAAATACATAACACTTTTGGTCATCACATTATTTTGTGCATTCTTTTAAGTGATACAATTCAAAAGGCTATAAAACAAAGGGAAGAATTTTATCTTCACTATTATAAATAATATTTTTTATGATAAAATTTTTACTTTGAAATTTTAAAAACAGAGAGTACAATTCCTGATAGCGTCATGCTAACAATCTTTTATCTCGGTTATCTTTAAAACTGATAAAATATATTTATAAGGAGCGCTATTTTATTAATATAACCTATTAACGTAGTTTTTTGAAAAAACCGAAGGAATATAAATATTGGGGATGCTTCGAATCTCGATTACTTTATTTTTATGTTTTCTTCAATGATTTAATTAGTATTTGTCACTTGACGTCTGAAGATTTCATTTTTTTCTTTGTTAAATTTTTTTTCTTCATTTTTTCTAAGTTAATTAGTAAAACTCAAAATCTTTGTTATCAATAAAAAATATTATGCAATAATACTATTGAAAAGGAAAGAAAATTTTTTCTTGATAATCAGAGAAGCATGACAACGAATAACTATTTGACATATTCAAACTTCTAACTCAACTAAACTTCAACAGTTAATCCTGCTCTTTTTACCCCTTTAAATATCCTAAGATGAGACAAAAGTTCAGAAACAACTCTTCTATATGGTATAAGGAAAGTTATTTACTTGCGAGAGGTCACAATCATTTCTGTTAAGAAGTTAAAAATAGTAAGAAGAAGATTAATTTTGATGTTGTGGATAAGGAAATTCAAAAGATGCTTGTCATTTGAAGTAAGCTTTTCTAACTGTTTCTCTCTTCGATAAAGATTTGCCACTAGAAGTTGATGTCAAACTTTTGCAATAGGGATGAGAGTAGCCGCATTTTATGCGGTTATTGTAGTTGACATAAATTAAGAGAAGATGGTTTGAGAATACATTATTGAATCTATATTGTTCAACATAACTACCTTTCTCTTCACACTTTATTGTTTGAGCAATAAGTGATGGAGTAATGGTGATAGGAAAGTCATATACATTGGACAATATTAATTTAACATCCTCACCAGATTGTCTAACGCATGCATTTAACCAGAACTCTGTTACGAGATTAATGTAGATGGGCCCATGAAGCATGTCAAAGTAACCTTTCAAATTATGTTCGAAAATAGTTTTTATTAGATCAAAATCATGGTCTTTCAACTCTTCAAAATCAACAAATTTTTCATTGATAACGAACAAAATATTTTCAACTCCGTTGAAGGTTTTTGTAGACATTTTTTTTAATAAAAAGAAAAGAGTTTTAAACTATATTTGAAGATACAAAGAGATGGAAATGAAATGAGACCTGAATAGTGTATAAATAAATTGGAAAAATAAAGTGAAACAGTTAAAGAAGCTCAAACACCACTTTGAAAACTCAAAAGACACGTTACATTTTGAATAAGGATGATCAATATCTTTCTATTGATATGATTTCAAGGCCCAGTGATCATTACTATTTTAAAAAAAAATATAAAAACAACATATTATCTCAGTTTTTTCATATAACCGAGGAGAAAAACCGGAAACCAACAATCCATGAACCTTTCTTTTTTATTATATTTTTTATTTGTAAATATTCTTTGTAATCAATGAAATGTAAAAAAAATCAAAGATTTTTCACCTCGGTTTTCTATTAAAATGATGGTTAAAGTATTTTATCTAAATTAAACATAAAAAATCATTAGTGATTCTGTTGGTCAAATATATGTCGTTCATTTCATGAGATATCAAAGCTCAAGACACTTCTACTAGTGATCTGCGTGAAACATAAAAACTTCCACTATAAAAACATATTTCTGAATATGAAGAAGCAAGTGAAGCATCATGAAGTGCTTGAAACGATCTACATCCACCTCTTTAGGTTTGCAAGTCATTTTCCATGAAAAGATCGCTAAGATGGATGCAAGAGCAAAAAAATATTTGGGTTTAAGATTTGTGTTCTTAACTATATATTTGAGAAAAAATCATTTATTTATCTAATTTTTTTTATCAATTCATTTTTCTTGTTTTATATCAGAAACAAATTCTTGCGAGGTAAGCCATTGAGAATATAGTCGCACCCATCATTTGATCTTGCTCAAATATCAACGATTCGAATATATTCATGTACTAATTAATTTTTATTTTAATATTATGTGTAAATAATGTAATATTCTGGATAAACATTGTAGTTTGCAAATAAACTATTTTACTAATATTATGTGTAAACAATGTAATGAGTTTTAATTAAAAAAAATATATCTTACCCCTCAGTTTGTGGATAAACTGAGAGGTATGAGGCAATGTTTTTGTAAATAATAAAAATGCATATGTTGGAGTTCGAACACATGATAATATACCTTTACTCCTGGATTTTTCATTAATCGAAGTGTTAGGTGGTATCTTTTCATGTCACCCTTTGTTACGTCGATTCAATAGTCGAGGTTACGTCTCTTTAGCGTGCGATATTAAAAGGGTTATTTGTAGTAGTACTCGTGACAAGTTCAAAGAAGTGAAAGTAAACGATGATATGTTTCATGTAGCTACACACTTTTCTAAAATTAACTTCAAAATTTATGTTGTAAAAGTTATATTTGTGGAAGACGATAGCATTGACGTTGTCATTGATGGGTTTCAAGAAGAGTTTTTGGAAAAGGTGTATCTTAAGAAAGCTGAATCATTTCTAAACTTCCTAAAGAAGAAATGTAAAACCAACAAAAATTTCATGTTGTATCCTCGTTACAATTCGGAGTTTGACAAAGTTGCTACATAAATTTTTAAAAGATCTAAAAAGAACGAAGACATTCGAATATTAATAGGTTAAGAAGAAAATTTAAAAATAAAGAAAACTAATTCCTTAAAAAGGATTATAAAAGGAAGAAAACTAATTTTTTAGAGCAATAACTAACCTATGCATATCACTATCAAGTAGAGGGGCGACAACAATATTACTTATCTAAATGCCATTGAAAATTTTGTTGGTATTGTCACTAAAGTTGAACATTCAAAGTTGATTGAATAGGAGAGTGATGAAGAAGATATAATAACATTGAAACTGGAGTTACGAAAATTTAAAAGACATATGTGGAGTGGGCATAACTTTGGTAGATGAACATATTTAAACTTTGCAACTCGAAGAAAATCCTTTCACGATAGCTTATGTTCCCAGGGAAATACAGAATATCATGTGGAATATTGTTTATTTTAAATGTCCTAATGACCAGATGAGAAGTCATGATGTTGTTGTCATTCCTTGCAGCATTCACGAAATGTTGATCACTTGGGGTGAGTTGGGGAATGTATAATATGTTAAAATAGATGAGACTGTGTTAGACTGAGATTTTTAGCTTAGCATTTTGATATGAATGTGTGATATGAGATATATTATAAAATCTTAAGTGTAGATAACCAAGTTATATTTTTGACATCAAGTAAGATACTTGATATGTTAAACTTTTCGATGGATATGATTGGATAACTTAAAGGCGTTTTTGATAGCAGTGACACTTTGAAGTGGTTCAAATGCCGAAAACATGTGGATCAAATCATAAGACGAAATCCATGCAGCAGTATATGTGTCAGAATTTTAAGAGTTAGTCATTGTTAGTAGTTGATAGTGAATTTTTACTCTGTAGTCAAGGGTCGCAATTCATTTTGTTCTCTTTAGAACTCATACATCTGATTCACTAAGATAACAAGTTTGTGAGAAATGTATGAACCTGCATTCCATTTTTAATTCAAGCATTTCAATTTCTTTATTGTTATTTACTAAATTAATTGCTTTTGTTAATTTAAGCACTTTCAATATGTTTCTTTTGTTATTTACATTAGAAATCCTTTTAGCATAATTATTTTTTCTTAAATGTTTTATACAAAACAACAATTAGAATTTTCGAGTTTGATCTTACCAGTGAATTAAAACTCGTGATTTTTACTAAAAACACAAGTAAACAAATTGGCATGCTCCGTGGGACCCATTTTTGTGCAAAATCAAAATTTTACTGAAAGTGTATGTGCTTTTATTTTTTGTTTTATGTTCTTCACACATTCAAATGGTTTCAATTATTGAGTGTTTATATATCTGAGGAGTGGCAATCTTGTTAGTATGTCTCGTTAACCATCAAATAATTTATCCCCTTAAGGAGTTACTTCTCCTTAAAACGACACTATAAATGTAGAAGAACAATCAATCGGAACGATGGTTAGTGGTGTAAGCACTGCATTAACTGTTGGAGTAACTACTCCTGTTATGAATCAAATGTTATTTTCGACTATGACACCAGAAATGGTGATACTCCCACCACAACCAACCAGTTTTCCTACTACTTCCAT